ATATTGTTACAAGATCAAGAGTTCCTGGCGGCAGTCTTGGGGGTGGGTGCAGTTGGAGTCCATGATAAATATCTGGGGCTCCCGACGCTTATTGCAAGATCGAAAGTGGAGACCTTCCGTTATTTGGAAACTAAGCTGTTGGAACGACTTCAGGGATGGAAACGGAGATCGCTGTCGTGGGCGGCTAAAGAAACTCTTATAAAATCTATTGCATTGGCTTTGCCTTTACATGTGATGTCCTGTTTCAAGCTCCCGTTATCCTTATGTCGCTTGTTAGACAGGCATGTTGCTCGCTTCTGGTGGGGGGAAAATGAAGGGCACTCTAAGGTGCGGTGGAAGTCTTGGCGGGATATGTGTCGAAGTAAGCATGATGGGGGGATGGGTTTCCGCAGATTTGAGCAGTTTAATCAGGCGTTGTTGGCTAAGATTGGGTGGCGTATTCTCAGTGAGCCCAATTCCTTGCTGGCCCAAGTTTACCGTGGAAAGTATTTTCCTACTGGACACTTTCTATCGGCTAAAGCGAGATCTCGTCCATCTTGGGGTTGGCAGAGTATCTTGTTTGGGCGGCAGCTTTTGGAGATGGGTTTACGCTGGCAGGTTGGAAATGGGCGTGCAGTTTCTATACTCCATTCTACCTGGGTCCCTGGCTTTCAGCTAGAGCCTATACGGTATAATCCTCTAATTTTGCCAGAGTGTGGTGACCCGCCGGTGGCGGAGTTAATTTGTGAAGGAGAGGGGAGGTGGTGTGATGAAAAACTTAGTCAGTGGTTTGATCCGGGGACATGCCGTCTCATTAAAGCTATTCCGCTTCCGAAGGGTAATGTGGAGGATAAGCTAATTTGGTTTGATACGGCAGATGGGGAGTTCTCGGTGAAGTCGGCCTATCATTTGGCTTTGGCGTTGGAGAAAAGGAGGGGGCGGTGGAAGTCTACGGTAGACTAGATGGATAGGGCTAGTTGGATACGGCTGTGGGAGGCTAATATTCCGCCAAAGTTGAAGGTGTTTGGTTGGCAGATCTTCAATCGGATTTTACCAACCACGGAAGCTTTGATTAGTCGCCATATTCCAGTCTTACCTCGTTGCCCGGTTTGTTGGGAGGCTACTGAAACCTTGGAACACCTTTTTTTGGAGTGCCCGATTGCGCGAGCTCTCTGGGGGGCGGCGGGTCTGGAACACTTTGGGGAAGGCCTGCCACGGCATACGTTTCCGATGTTCCTTAAGAAGCTGCTGGCCTTGGTCTCGCAACCTTCGCAGTGGATGGCAATTTTTGCTGTCCTATGGCGGATTTGGAAATCCCGGAACTGGGTTGTGTTTGAAGGTAAACAGTTTAGTCTCCCGGCTCTTCTACGTCAATTTTCGCAACAAGTTGAGGAATGGGCGCGCCTTCCGGTGGAGGAAGACTCTCCGGCCCGGGTGGTAGGGGAGCATGTACCAGGGCCGGTTGGAGCTTTTGAGGTTGTCTGTAGATGGGATGGGGCCACTAGGAGGGGGTCGCATGCGGCAGGGGGAATGGTCATTTTGACTCCCGATGACGCTGTCCTCAGGGCTAGTGGGGTCACTTTCCCGGTCATGGATGATCCAGCGATTGTGGAGTTGTTAGCACTGCGAGCGGCGATATTTTGGTGTTTGGAGCAAGGATTTGTTTTGGTTCGATTTGAAGGAGATGCGAAGGTGATCATTGATAAAATCAATCGTGGGGAGTCGCGCGATAGCAGGATGGGTGCTGTTTTGGAGGAAGTGTTGACTCTTTTTTGCAGTAATCCTGGGTTTAGTATTCGGTTCGTAGGTCGGCAGCACAATAGGGTAGCCCATGTAGTGGCTAGGAAAGCCCTTTCTTTGTACCCGGCTATGAGTCGTGTTTTTAATTATCAGGCCTGGCTGTTATCCAGGATGTAACTATCTTTTCTGAGATCAATATAAGATTATCTTTTGTCAAAAAAAAAAAATAATAATTTTGTATCATTACCTACAATTTATATTCATATATTGATAGTTTGTAAAATATTATTTTCTGTCAAGAAGTAAATGATCTAATGGGTTGACCTGAATAACCCATAATCCGACCTGGCCGAACTCGAATTAACCTGCAATCCAATAAACCCGTAATTTGATGCACCCGTAATCCGACCCGATTCGTAACCCAATTGACCAGTGACCTAATTGACTCGTAACCCAATTGACCTGCAACCCAATTAAACCCGATCCAAATTGAAACCGACCCGATTGAACTCATAATCCGATTGAACCCAACCCAATTAGACCCAATCCGAACTCGATCCAACCCGCCCATTTATCACCTCAAAGTATGGGATTGAGTTTATGCGCAAACGGACAAGAAAAGAAGTATGGTGGTCCAGCCTTGGCCGACCCAGTTGCGGTTCGGGGAACCTTCCTCTTGCCTTAAATGCCAAGTAACTAAAGAGCCTTAGTTCGAGTTGGAAGAGAAAAAAATCTCTTGTGCCACATCATCTACACCTGAAAATCAGAGTCACATAACATGTATATTCTACTCGTAATTCATATATTAACTCTTCTTAAAAAAATACTAATTATTTTTTTTTATCATTCTATTTTCCTCTAATTCCCAAAATCATAATAAGATCAATTGTATTCTTTAGGTGCACTTTTGATCTTTTCCTTTCATCATTTACAATACACTAAACTACTAATTAGCCTAAAGAGAGCGCGTGATGCCATAGTTGACTCCCTGTGACACATCCCTTTCTCCCCCAAGCCACCAAGAGATAGAAGACAACATCATCATTACAATACAAACTCCTCCTCCCTCTCTCTTTCTCATTTAAATTCCTTTATAAAACCCACATTACCCTCCACCACCGTTCCACCTCAACGATCCGATTACAAGCTTCCAACAGAAAGAAAAAATGTCGCCGAAAACGACAATCGTATTGCTTCTTCAGGGGCTCTCTCTGTTCTCACTCGTCCTAGCTTCGGACCCCGACCCGGTCCAAGACTTCTGCATCCCCAACCCGACTCCCACATCTCCAACCACACCCAAACACGCCACCGCAGCAACAACAATTCACCCTTGCAAGGACGCGGCGGAGGCCACCGCCGGCGACTTCGTGTTCTCCGGCATGAAAACCCCCGGCAACTTCTCCGAAACAGGGTTCGCATCCATACCCGTCAACCCGGCCACCTTCCCGGGCCTCAACACCATGGGGATGTCCTTCGTCCGGGCCGATTTCAAACCCGGAGCGATCAACCCGCCCCATTTCCACCCGCGAGCCACCGAGATCGCCCACGTCGTGGAAGGCAGGCTCTACGCCGGCTTCGTGGATTCCAACAACAAGGTGTTCGCCAGGGTGCTGGAGAAGGGCGAAGTGATGGTTTTCCCCAGGGGGTTGATGCATTTTCAGATGAACGTCGGCGAAGTCCCCGCCACGATTTTCGGGAGCTTCAATAGTCAGAATCCGGGGAGCCAGCGGATCCCGTCGGCGGTGTTCGGGTCCGGGATTGACAATTCGCTGCTGGAGAAGGCTTTTGGGTTGAGTAGCAAGGAGATTGTTATGATGAGAAGGAAGTTCGATCCTAAAGCTACTGTCAAGCCTTAGTTAAAGAGAAAAAAGAAAATAATTTTCACCTTTATTCGGGTAACATTTTTTTCCAGAATTATGTACCGTTTTCGTCGTCTCGTTGGTTGTACTCTGTAGTTTCGATGTGTTAAAGAAAAGGCATCATATTCATGCCCTGTTCTGTGGTTTTGAGTATTGCAGATTAACCAACAGACTTCTAGCTAGTCTAATACTTACAGCTGTAAGTTTGGATATTTGAGTACTTTGAATTCGTGTAGAAAGTAGAAACCCTTTTCCTCTCTCATTTAGGCGCAGTAGCCACGATGTAGAGGGTGGATTAGGAAGTGGTGTTAGGTAGAGTTATATGATTGGTTTGGGTTTTGGGAGTGGGAGTGGGTGTGGGTGTGGGGGTTTCATTTCATTATTTGGAAGGTGTCTTTGAAATCACTTCATACGCACGCTCTGCTTCTTTTCAATTCTTGCTACTCAGGGTTTTGTGACGTGAGGGGCATTATATATAGGAGGAGGATCTACATCATGATCACCAGAGCATGTGAAATGGCGGCAATAATGCCACATTTTGTTAGAAACAAACGGTTGAGGAAGTAGGGAAACTAGCTAGATCAATTAGGGATTGATCAAGCTAGGGATTGGGAATAGGAGATTTTAGGAAGAAGAGAGGGGGAAGGGAGGCTGCTGCCGAACAGCCAAGGAGGAAGAGAGGAGAGAGGGGGATCGGCGCTAGGAGAGAGAGAGAGTAGTTTTAAGTTTTCTGATATTGATTGCTTAATCTCAAATTACACCCTACTGCAGATTATATAATCCGCTAATTCCCTAACTGCTACCCACTTAATAAAATGTAACAACCGACTCCCTGTTTATTGCTAAATACCCCAAATAATCCCCCAATTAGTCAGAATCCGGGGAGCCAGCGGATCCCGGCGGCGGTGTTCGGGTCCGGGATTGATAATTCGCTGCTGGAGAAGGCTTTCGGGTTGAGTAGCAAGGAGATTGTTATGATGAGAAGGAAGTTTGATCCTAAAGCTACTGTCAAGCCTTAGTTAAAGAGAAAAAAGAAAATAATTTTTACCGAGCAGCATGATGCTCTGTCTTTATTCGGGTAACATTTTTTTCAGAATTATGTACCATGTTCGTTTTTGGTTGTACTCTGTAGTTTCGATGTGTTAAAAAAAAGTATCATCTTCATGCTCTGTTCTGTGGTTATGAGGATTGTAGATTAACCCTTTTCCTCTCTCATTTAGGTGCAGTAGCCACGATGTAGAGGGTGGATTAGGAAGTGGTGTTAGGTAGAGTTATATGATTGGTTTGGGTTTTGGTTTTGGTTTTGGTTTTGGTATTGGGAGTGGGTGTGGGGGTTTCATTTCATTATTTGGAAGGTGTCTTTGAAATCAATTCATACGCACGCTCTGTTTCTTTTCAATTCTTGCTACTCAGGGTTTTGTGACGTGGGGAGCATTATATATAGGAGGAGGATCTACATCATGATCACCAGAGCATGTGAAATGGCGGCAATAATGTCACCTTTTTTCCCACTACCTGAGATCAATCAATGTTTTCAACAACCAATAATGCACAACAATATATGGCTCCCAAAGCTGAAACTAAAACAACATGTCACCAAATGCTTTGAATTTACCAGCCTGGTAAAGAACTGAGGCTCAATTCAACGACAAGTCTCGCGCGCAGGTGTGAGAACCACACTTTTAGGGATTCTCGATACTGATCTTCGGCACTCGTGATAATTAGGGATTTAGGGGTTGAGAGAATGAATTAGGGATTTAGATGAGAAAGAATAGAATTGGGAATCGGCCGAGGCCTTGGACTAGGATGAGACGAGAAATTAGGAGTTGAGAGGATAACTAGGGTTTAGGAGACTTTGCTTAATATTCTTCTTGATTGATTATGACTTAAACCCAAAGTACATATATATAGGAAATATTGGAAAACCCTAACGAATAACCTAATTGGACTAAATCTCTACTAACCATAATAATAATTATCCTACCTAATATAATAATAAAAACCATATATAATTGTGTTTCTGACAATCCATCCCCCTTGAGAACAACCTTGACCTCAAGGTTGTAGTTGACTTCTACCTCCTTGTCCTTCCGCTTTCTTCGTTTCCAATTGCGCTCGATCTCTCGAATAAACTTTCCTCGCGGAACTCTAACATTCCTCGACTCTCCACCCACGTGACATATGTCACGTTCTTCATAGCCGAACAATTTTTCCTTCTCGAACTCCACAAAGTATGAATCGGGGAATTCTTCTTCTTTATGCTCTAGCTTGTGGTCTTCAAGGAAATGATCCATAAATTCTATCATTTGCTCGTTAGCAAGGACGAGCCATAACTGCTCCCAACCTTCTTTTTCTTCTCCTTCGGTTCGGCCCATATTGGCTTTAAAAAAAGAATAGTGACCCAAACCAAAGTCAAGCTCTTTTGAACTCTTCCTCCTTCTAACTATGTTTGGGCTTGTCTCTCCTGAAGGCCCACTTGTTGAGCTCACTTTGCCTTCTTTATTCTTTTCCTTCCAGCCTTGCTCCAACCAAAGAGAACAAATCAGACAGCCCAACGGAGGCCCAAGTTCTCTCTTAAAACTCGGCCCATCTTTCTCTTTATGCCAGCTGAGTTCTTTCTTGTTCAGCCCACCACTTAATCCCACTAGCCCACATTCTTCTTCTCTCCAGTTCTGTCCCTGCAAGACAAATCTTACAAAATAGCCCACTGAAACTCGGCCCAGGGAGAGCCTATGCGAAACCCATCCAAGCCCAACAAACTCCACCCATGGGTGCGGGCTGGTCTGGTCCACTTTCATTGGCCTCACGGCCCACTCGGCCTGGAACTCTCGGCCCGATGGGTGCCCAACCCACCCCACTCTTCGGCCGCCTAGGGTTGCCAAAGAAGGAAACCTGCCGCCGCCCAAGAGCTCCTTCCTCGGCGAACCCTTCGCCTCATTCTCCGGCGACGCGCAAACGATCCGACGGCGAGGCTGCTGCCGCGCTTCGGCCTCCGTCCTCCGACCCCTCTCCCTGTTGATCGACGACACGAGGAGAGTCGCGGCCGAATCCTTCCCCGCCAACTCTCTCTTCACCTCGCTCTTCAGCGGCGAGAAGTTCGTCAAGCGACGGGGAGTAGATTCCGCGGCCACGCCGCTCACCTTCTTCTTCGGCGACTCGCCATTCCGCCGACCCGACTCCAACATCGCCTGCAAACCCGCCGCCGCCCTCAACTTCTTCCCTATCGGCAGCTTCGACGTCCTCGTCGCCCGCTTTTCCGCCGACTGCGACTCGTTGTTGGTCGTCTCCTTTCTCGGCGGAGTCCCGCCTAGCCCTGGGCACGGCGACCAGCTCAGATCCGCCGTCGTCTTCAACTCCGTTTCCTGCGGCGACGAGTACGTCGTCACCACTCGGGGACCAGTCACCGATCGTCGAGTGGCTTGCGTGATTGGCGACGTCGACGAGCCCCCCGAGAGTTTTGCCGCTACCTCCTCCTTTCTTTCCGCCAAACACCCCTGTGCTTCTTGATCCGCCGTCTTGATCGTCGGGAGAGAAACAGGGACTTCGCCCGTGCTCCTCTTCTTTCTGAATTTCCACCAGTCGATTGGAGGATTCAATTGGGCTGGCGTGGGTCTGGGAGCAACCTGAATTGATGTTGGGACAACATCGGTGGTGGTTGGTGACGACTTAGCGAAGGAGTTTGAAGCCTCTGCGGTGACTTCTTCTTCCTCAATCAACAATTTCCGCGTATCCTGCGAGATGATGATTTTCGGAACCTTGATGGTGAAACTGCCATCTCTGAAGCTAGCGCGACATTGTAGATTTCTCCGAATTCGATTTGTTTTCCGAAACGGATCCATCTGCGTTCGTAACCCAACGAACGCTCTGCTGTAATTGTTAGCACATTTGATTCAATTCTTTGTACATCTAGGTGCTTAGCCTCGAACCCAGGCAAGGAAAAGAATAGCTTGATGCGATGCGGATATTCCTGTTTGCAGATGTTTGGCTCGAAGTCTTCATAGATGCGTTCATCCCCGGTTGAGAGTTGTGATAAACTCATATTCGCAACCGGAGCTCTGGTACGAGTGCCACAACCAGGCTCTGATACCTAGGGGTGGGCATCGGTTCGGTTCGGTCAAAACCGAACCGAAATTGAGTATACCGGGTCTACCGAACACCCTGCCTATGAAACCGAAATCGAACCGAAATATAATTCGGTTCGGCTTAGCCGAACCGAGTTATATTCCGGTTCGGTTCGGGATCCCGACCAAACCCGAAATTCCAGACCCTTCCTTTTTTCTTTACACTCTCTTCGTCATTTTTCCTCAAATCTTCCTCTCTCTCTACCAACAAACATCCTTCTACAGTTCTACCTTCCTCTGCTCGTCAAACCACTCCCTCCATCTCCTTCAAATCTGCTTTTCTTCCAACCCTGATCTTTCACCCAACTTCTCCATAAATCCGCCTCCATAAATTCACCTCTCACCTCCTCCTCTTCCTTCTCCCCTGTCCAACGCGGGTCTGGGATATGGTGTCGCCGCCGCAGACGACACGACAACCCATCTCAGAACAGAGAACACGGCGGATCTGCTCTGTCTCTCTTCCGTCTTCGAATCCACCGACGGCGCCGATTACTCCAAGTTCATACGATTCTCTGCCGCCAATCCCGCATGCAAAAGGTGAGATCGATCGGCGACGAGGGCATCGACGAGGGCGAAGCTGCGATTCATTGGTTGCTTGCGGCGTCGGATAGGAGATGAGATTTGGCGACGCGACGGTTCATGGAGATGAGATTTGCATTTGGCCATTGTTCAATGTTCATTGTTGATGGCGGCTGCTGTGTGTAGGATAGGGATAGAGATGGGATTGGGCTTAGGGTTGTATGGGGTAGGGTTTGATATGGGATTGGGCTTAGGCCTTAGGATCATGTGGGTTGTCAGTTGTGGGGGCCTGGGCTGGGGAGAGGGTTTGGCCGTTTGGGGGAGAAGAGTTTGGGCTTGGGGAGAGTGGGTTGTGGGGTTTTGGGCTTAAGTAAGTGGTGGGCAACAGAATTTCGGTTTCTCGGTTCGGAGGTTTGGAATTCGGGTTCGGTTGGACTGTCCTGGTTTCCGAAATATGTAAGTTTCCTTTCCGAATTCCGAACCGAACAATATTAGTTCGGTTTCGGTTCGGTTTTGTTCGGGTTCGGTCCGGTTCGGTTCGGGTTTACCGAACCGGATGCCCACCCCTACTGATACCACTGTGAGAACCACACTTTTAGGGATTCTCGATACTGATCTTCGGCACTCGTGATAATTAGGGATTTAGGGGTTGAGAGAATGAATTAGGGATTTAGATGAGAAAGAATAGAATTGGGGATCGGCCGAGGCCTTGGACTAGGATGAGACGAGAAATTAGGAGTTGAGAGGATAACTAGGGTTTAGGAGACTTTGCTTAATATTCTTCTTGATTGATTATGACTTAAACCCAAAGTACATATATATAGGAAATATTGGAAAACCCTAACGAATAACCTAATTGGACTAAATCTCTACTAACCATAATAATAATTATCCTACCTAATATAATAATAAAAACCATATATAATTGTGTTTCTGACAGCAGGCCTGTGAAAGCTTACTGCTTGCCATTCACCATCGTCTTCACAATGGTGTCAGCCATCCCATCGACATGGGGGAAATAGTGTCCAGAACCAGTCAGCTCGTGGTACCGAATCCAAGAAGAATGGCGCTCCGCAATGTAGCGCTGCAGTGTAGCAGGCACCAGAGTGTCCTCGTCTCCTTGCCACAGATGCACATAGACTTCCTCGCCCGTGAAAGGGTTCTCCATCTCCACGGGATCGAACTCCCACGTGCCAAATCCTAAGTTCAGGTCACGATGGAGAGACTCGTATCTTCCTTGCGGCCTTACATACTCCTAGTAACAACATTAAATGACAGCATTAAGCAGATAGAAGAAAGTCGTTCAACTTGCACATTGTTGTTAAGCAGACAGAAGAAACAGAAGTGGGTAAAAAAAAAAAGCTACAAGGGAAACATTCCAGCACAGATGGAAAATTACCCTATGACTAGCCCCTTTAGCTATAAGCTTCGCCATAACTTCTCTTTCTTCACGACAAAGAACATGAGGTCTTGTTGCACCAAGACTTGGAAACCAGTTTTGGGTATTCCACCAATGAGTTAACCAGGGAACATAATGAGCCACACGAAGAGACCAGTAGTCACAAGTTGGTTGTTTGTACAAGGCTTCAGTGGATAAGTTGGAAGGAAAACCAGGCCACCAGTAGTTACTCGCTGGGGTCAACAATGTCACCCCTGCAAGCCTGAAGATCGTTGGCAGGCAAAGGAAAACAATAAGAAAAAAATGCATCAAAATACAACATCTAATCTGCTGAATCGGCATCTACAAACTTTACCTGTGAGGAATGTACTTCAGGCAGCCCCATCCTATCTGTCCGCCAAGCGAATAACCGATTAAGTAGAATTTAGTCCCCAGTCCCAATTGATCAGCAAGCTCTTCTATGTCCAACGCCTGGCTCTTCACTGTTCTTGATGGATGGGGATCACTCTCCCCATAACCAGGTCTGTCGTACGACACGAAATAGATCCCCAGCTCCTCGACAAGTTCCTGACCAGAAAGCATAATTAAAGAATATCAACTGATGACAATTGCTGAAGCATGATGAGGCTAAGCCACAACAAGAAAATAAACATACATACCGGAGAAGTGTAAGTGGCAATGACATCATCCAACCTACAGACGTCGAAGCCATGGATAAAAACGACTTTAATCTTGGCAACGTCCTTTGACACTCCACGTTCTTGGTAAGCCAAATGCCTTCCATCACGAAGCTGGATTCTCGATGCTGTGACTGGCGGTCCGTCAGAAGAACCACATATCTTGGGCGGAGGTGGTTGGATTGCTTGGTAACCCCAAGCCACTAGCCCAGCCAGCAGAAGTAACAGTACTGCAGGAAAGAACCCTGAAAAATACATAAACAATTGGTTCGGATATTCTCAATTGCTCTGTCATTGCTTGTTGAAACAAAATTTCTGGACTTTATCATACACATAAAACAGGGGCGGAAATTGCCAACCTGAAGGGAGGGTAAGGCCGGAACTCTTGTTAGCTCTTCTAGTGTGAGACCTTGCTGAGGCGGCATATATCTTCCTGCTGGTTCCTGCCGCCATTGTCAGATTTAGATGTCCCGAGAGAGGGGAGATGACCGATCTGGGTTGGCCTGAAATATAGACCAACAGGCTATTGCATGTGGGGAAATTTTGGGTGCTGACTTGCTGCAACTGAGGAGCTTTCCTTAGCTCTCCCTCTTGATCATTTAAAATTTAAAACAATAATATATACCAAAACCTGAAACTCACCGGCCCGCTCAATGGCTCATACGAGTTGAAACTGGGTTGATCTGCAGGCGGATCAAGTTACCGATTATTTCTCATAAATGTGTAAGAAACCCACTTTTAGGGCCTCTTGGATTCTGATATTCGGTACCCGCGACTACTTGTAACTTGATCGATAAAAAAGGATTTAAGGATTGGGACTAAAAATTAGGGACTTAGATAGAAAAAACATAATTGGAGATGATTAGTGATTTAGAAGATAAAATTGAGAAGAATAGGGAAGAACAACCAAAATCTTTAGGGAGATAGATGAGATTCAAAGGATTAGGAGAATAGGGTTTTAGAGATATCTGCGTAATACTTTTACGATTAATTCTCAATGAAACCCCAAGTGCATATTTATAAGAAATAAACCCCCAAAAACCTAACAATTAACCATACCTACTCGGCTACATTAGCCGCCTAACCCTACTAATCCAGTAATCCTAACAATATTAATTATAATTTATACTAATAGTTGATATTTCTAACAATCCACCCTCCTTGAAAGCGACTTTGTATTAAAGGTTGCAGTCAACTTCCGCTTTCTTTGTTTCCAATTGCGCTCCATCTCATGAAAGAACCTCTTTCCAGCAACTCCGACTTTCTTCGACTCTTCACTCGCCATGTGACACCCATCACCATGTCTTCCCGCCATACATTTCCCGAGAGATAGACGAGATTTAGAGGATTAGAAGAATAGGGTTCTAGAGATATTTGTTAATACTTTTCTGATTAATTCTCAATGAAACCCAAGTACATATTTATAGGACATAAACTCCAAAAACCTAACAATTAACCATACCTACTCGACTACATTAGCCGCCTAACCCTACTAATCCTAACAATATTAATTATAATTAGTATAATAATTTATATTTCTAACAATCCACCCTTCTTGAAAGCGAATTTGTACTCAAGGTTGCAGTCAACTTTCGTTTTCAATTGCGCTCCATCTCATGAATGAACCTCTGTCTAGCAACTCCGACTTGCTTCGACTCTTCACTCGCCATGGGACACCCATCATCCTAAATATCGAATAACACTCCAAAATGAATTCCAATCCCAATTCCTAAAAAATAAGGCGGTATTTGGTAATATCAAATAGTGATAATTCGGTACGATATCTGGTATATCCCAAATACCGGTACCAAACTTCCAACCCTACCCTCCATACAATTCCTGCTCTTCTCTTTTGAAGTCCACAAAATAAGAATTGGAGAATTATTTTTCCTTGTGCACTTCATCGTCCGCATAATATCAACAGTAGTGCAGGAAAGATCCCTAAAAATACATAAAACATGTGGTTCAGATATTCTCAATAGTCAATTACTCTCTCATTGCTTGTTGAAACAAAATTTCTGGACTTTATCATACACATAAAACAGGGGCGGAAATGGCGATGAATGCTATAAGATCACCAGCAAAGCATGCATATACAAAATCCGATTCTGAGCGACAAATATCGGGTAAGGAAACCAACCTGAAGGGAGGGTAAGGTCGGAGCTCTGATTATCTCTTCTAGTGTGAGACCTTGCCGAGGCAGCAGATACCTTCCTGCTGGTTCCTGCCGCCATTATCAGATTTAGATGTCCCGAGAGAAGGGAGATGATCGATCTGGGTTGGCCTGAAATATACCAACAGGCTGTTGCATGTGGGGGAAATTTGGGCGCTGACTTGCTGCCTACAACGGAGGAGCTCTCCTTAGCTCGCCCTCTCAATAATTTAATTTAAAACAATAATAATATACTAGCGTGTGCCCCGGCCAGTTGGCTAAAGGAAGGCGAGATATGAAATTTGAGAATATAATGGGGTGTATAGTTTATTTGTATAGTTTTTTTTTTATGAAACTCGTGATAATTAAAGATTAGGGATGACAATTGCCCACTCATGGGTAATTATACCCAAACACAAGTAAACCCATTGATAATGGGTTGGGTATGGGTAGGATGATAACAAAACCCGAACCCACGGGTACCCACCCAACCCGGTCTTAGCGGGTAAAATCCGTGTTGACGGGTTTTTGGTCGAGTTCGGGTTTAAACCCGTTTACTATTCATCAGGTTGGGTTTGGGTTTAGGTAAACCCGCCCCATGGGCACCCGCCCACACCCATATAATTAATTTTCTCGGTATATTTAATATTCTAAACAACTAATCTTATTTATGTTTGTGGAGACATGTCTAATTTTTTCTTTCTAATTGTGTAGAATGAAGTTGATGTTATCGAGTGGAGAGTGAAGAAACTTAATTGACAAGGAGGAAGAAGCTTTCAATTAATCATGTTATTTATGGATAATTTGTGATTTGCTTCAGTTTTTTTTTTTAGTTTTCTAGATTGGTGTTGAACAATTTGTATAGTTAATTTGTGATTTGCTTGAATTTTCTAGAATGGTGTTTTATATATGGATAATTTGTATTGAGAGATTGATATTTGACTTTAATTTTGATAGAAACTTGTTATTGTAAATTTTTTACGACAAAAACCCGTGTGTACCCATGAACCCGCAGATACCCAGCGGGTTGGGTTTCAGTTTATCAACCCCAGTGGGTTTTACCCAGGGTTTTTTACACAGACAAACCCATGAGTTTGGGTTTGGGTTTGGGTTTGGCAAAACTCGACCCAACCCAACCCATTGCCATCCCTATGTATGGGTGAAGTGCATTTGGGTTTGGGCGTTTGTAGATAGGTTAGGTGTGAGTATATGGGTGAAGTGCATATGGGTTTGGGGGTTTGTAGATAGATTTTGTGTGAGTATGGATATTTCTTCCATAATCTAAATGAGTATGGGTTGGATATGATGGTTGACCCACTTTGACCCTGGCCCGATGAGAAAAACGGGCCGCACGCACCCGCCGGGTCGACATCTACAAGGTACCAGGTTTGAGGTCAAATTTTGTCATTTTTTTCTTTGATTTGCGAAATGCGCCTATTTTCCGATTTTTCTTTTCGTCTAACTCAATCTTTGGAATCCTAAGTTGAACATTTGAATATTGATGTTATATACTCGTGTATGAATTTTCACTATATGTTGGATCTAAGTACGACATGTTATTTTTGTGTAATATTATATGTAATAAATCATGTGTTAGATGAGATTTGATATAATTTATCAGGATAAGTAAAATATAATGACTCTTTCCATATTTCCAAGCTAAAACGGGCTAAAACGGGTGACCCATTAACCCTTGACCCACTAGCTTGACCGGGTCCGGGTCAGCCCGTGGGTTGATAACCTCATATGAATATCCATTTACTTGAGTGTGTTTTAACTACACATATAAAAATAAGACCTATTTGTAAAACATGAAAATTTTAGGTACCAAATATAAGACCAAAAAACTTTAGGTACCAAAACGTAATTTTCCATCGATATTTTGGGTACTTATATGCAAAAAATTAATTTTAGGTACTAAATATGTATATATATTAAGTTTAGGTACCAAACTGTAATTTAAATTTGGGCATGGGTACAAACCCAAATCTATTTGTTAAAAACCCAGCCCAACCCAAGTAAATGAGTATGGCTACAAACCCATCAAGCTCTAACCATATCCGTCTATTTGGATTTCATAACCAACCCAATTGGATTGGATAATAAAATACCCATGAGATGATGCTACGAATCAAAAATCAGCCTTATGAACCAAAATCAAAATCTTGTTATCTTGTGAAACAATATTATTTCTGGTAATATGATGAGGTGGAGTAAGTTTTATAGGGTTAGTTGCATGGTTGGTCACTGAGATTACACAAAACGTTCAAGTTTGGTCACTCGAAATATTTAAATCCATTGGTGGTACTTCAGTTTACTGAAACGGTTCACGTTTGGTCACTCTCCGTCCAACTCCGTTAACTTTTGCTGATGTGGCAGTCAACTCTCAAAGTTGACCGTTAACTTTTGCTGACGTGGCAGTACTTCTCCAGATCCCTCTTCGCCGATTCCAGATCTAGGGTATTCGATCTCAATTGAGTCTTCAATTTCCCCAATTACTCGTCTTCTCATTCAATTGCTTCTTGTAATCGACGATCTCCTCGCTCTTCTCGCCGCTGCGATGGGGGAACCCGTGGCGGGTGTCCCACAGATTGCCGACTGTGGACGGCAGAGGGGGGTTAACGGCGCCGTATTGAGACCAGTTGAATGTGTCCTTTAGTCTCAAGAACTGTACCCCAAACGCCGGATCGACGAACTCGCCGTCGTTGGCGGAGACGTCTATGAAGCAATTGCCAAGTGGGTTGATGTAGAAATGAGACTGCGAAAGGTCCTCTGCCAGATTGCTCAGGTCCCGCCCCGTGATCTCCTCTTCGAACAACTTCAGGGCGTCGTATTGATTCTCCTGCTGGTGGTGACTAGTGGCTGCGACGGTCGCGATGATTTTCTAGTCGGTGGTTCTGACAGCTGAAGATGGGGAAGTTGTTGACGGAGTCAGCTCGTAGACGTCGATCGTGGTAGATTCCGATGAAGCGACGAAATGGGTAGTGTAATTGAACTCGAAAGGCACCATGATCGTGGTAGATTCCGTCATTTATATCTCTGAGTTCTAGTATAGACTACTAGGAGATTTGGATTGAAATTAGGTTTTTTTTATGAATGTAATAATGAAGTGGAAAATATAAAATTTTTTTATTTTTAATTATTTTTTAGTTGCCACGTCACTAAGTTAACGGTCAACTTTGAGAGTTGACTGCCACATCAGCAAAAGTTAACGGAGTTGGACGGAGAGTGACCAAACGTGAACTGTTTCAGTAAACTGAAGTACCACCAATGGATTTAAATATTTTGAGTGACCAAACTTGAGCGTTTTTTGTAATTTCAGTGACCAACCATGCAATTAATCCAAGTTTTATAGAAACCGAATTCCAGAAAATCGAATAAAAAATCGCCTATCCCACCGGTCTTCCAGAAATGAGCATCTCACATTCATTGCTAGCTTTTACTCGGCCCGTCGGCCGATTAATTTGCTTTATATAACTTTCATCTTTTCGTCATTGTGCTTTCTGATTTTTGCCAGGCTATGATAAAATCTATAGAAATCAAGAACGAACAACACGATTTGGGATAGGAGCCGCCGTTCCTGTATCCCTAGAAAATGGTGGTAAACACAAACTCAGCTGCCGAACTGGTTTGGATTGAGATTTTTATCGGGTATCAGGGAACCATGCGATTATAAATTAGGCTTGATATAAACAGGCCAAAACTTGAAATTCAGCCTGTTTTACAGATTCATGCCAAACTCTAATTATTCTTTACTTTTAAACTTTCTATTTGAAAATAAAAAATAGTGAAAGGAAACAGATGACTACAATTCGTCATTTGGACATCACTGATTCGGTAATAAAACCATAGAAATTTGAAAGGAAACTGAAAATGTTTAGGATCATTTTAACGTTAAAAATAACCAAATGGATCTTTCTTTTTAGTTTTTTACAAAAAAATACCAAACAATTCCCTATAAAATACACTATAATTTAATCATTATGATATCAAATAATTACATAATACATATTTAAAATGATAAAAGTTGGAATAATTGGGTTGGTCGAGGTTGAACCATTTAATAACTTTAAAATACGTTATATTTTAGCCACTAAGATATAAAATAATAACATAATATATGTTATGCTAGAGAAAATGGCTTATTTTAGGATGACAAACCCATGTTGTTCATTTGTTTTACTCGATGGCCAAATCCCGAATAGGTCAGACCCATTCAACTCTTTTATTTTATGGTTAGCGGTTAGCCCATTATAATCTATGCATTAGTTTATTGTTAATTTTTTCTTTTTAGCAATAAAAATGAGTATTGATTTTTCCCTTTCATATATATCTTAACAACACCGAGAAATAAAAGGGCTTAAAGAAATTTGTTCTATTTTTGTGAGTCGCAACAATTCCTGGGCCCGTTTAAATCTGCATGTGTACGGTAAGTTGGCCCGTTCCACAGATAAAGAGAAAAAAATTGACACTCCCTATTCTACCCTTCCTACAAACGCTGCTGGAGCAGGGAATTTGAAATAGTGAAGAGTTTTTTCCTCCCTACTATTATATTATGTGTAGAAACACTATTATCCAGAAATAGAAAAAGATAAGCAAAAAGGCGACAAATAGCCAACAATGGAAAATCCTGCATAGGAATACCTTGCTAGCTCTAGGGACTCTCTGTCATAATAAACAACCCTCTAGAAAATCCAAAACCTTGAGACATCAAACAAACATCCCACGACACTAATGTATGGCATGCACA